TTCTCCACAACAAGAGGAAACAGGCTGTAGTGGAAGCAGTGGCTTCCTTTCTGATATCTGAGATTCAGCGAGGGCTGTCTTGTGAAGACGAGATGGCTCATGTATGGATTGAAAACAGGTACCCGTTGGGAGTCTGAGCTGTGGCAGTGAAGAGCCCACCTCCACAGGTAGAGATGTTTCACAGTAGGTCCTCACACCTGGTGACTGCAAAACTGAAAGTGTAGGTAGTCCACAGCAGACAACATGAGCCACTGGGCCTTTGAACACCTAAGTCTCTCGACAGGCACGAATGGCCTTCCCCACAGCTGCACAGAATCCTGTTACTAAGGAAGCAGCTCCTGTTGGGGTCATCACATTTTTGGTCTAGCTCAGCAAAGCCACAGCTGCTCCGGCCTTAGAAAAGGATGTTGGCAAATAAACAGGGCTATGTGGCAGAAATGGAGGGTGGGGTGGACAGTGCAGCTGGGCCTCAGGAGCCAAGGGCCTGCTGTTTCCACCTTGGGTCCTGTTTTATATCCGACTGCTGGGATCCCAGGGTGAGAGCAAGGACCAGGCCCTGCTGTTCCTTAACTGCCCTGGCCAGAGTGTGCGCGCCCCCTGCTGGCAGAGGTGAAGACAGACCCAGGAGTGCATTAGGTGAATGAGCGCATGCGTGCTTCCCTTTACCCAGCTCAAACATGTGAAGCCTTAACTTCAGCTTAAGTAATAAAAATTTATTGAGAATTCCTGGGATGGTGGTTATTGCCTCCCAACCTCGAGGGAGGAGCCAACGCTGTAGGAAATCACTGAGAAATCATACACTGTCCCAACAACCCCTGCCAACACAGGGAGGAAGAAAGTCATTCCCTTGAAAATGGGTCAGTTTTCATTCATCTGAGAAGGGTTGGGAGGACAGATGTAGAGGGGACCAACACGTGACATTGGGGATGGGGTGAGGGTGTGCTGGACCCCAAACTGGCTCCTCAAACACCAGGGGTGAAACATCCACTTCTTCTTGATTCTTGATTCCAGGGGTGGATTCTTGATCACCAGACTCATTTTTTAGCCTTGATGAGGCTGTCACTGTGGAAAGGAGACAGATGGATGACATTTTAGGGGACATAAAGGTGAGAGGCACAACATCTTGGCCACTCCCTCCTCAACTACCCTCCTTCCTGATTAAGGGTGTGCATGGGGGAAGAGAGGAAGGTTAGGTGGTGGGGGAGGAGGCAGGTACTGGGAGGTGAGATCCCAGAGAAACAAGGATGCATCAACAACTTACCTTCCCCTGCGGATACCAGGTCACCAGATGAACAGGAAACAGGGAGAGAAGAAAAATTCAGAGGTGACTTGACAGTTCAGGCCCTACCCAGCTCTAAACCCTCTTTTGTTCTCAAGAGAAAAAAAATGGGTTGGAAGCCAGGAAAGGTTCTCTTGGCCACTGCTGTTTCTCAGCAGTCCCTTCCTAGCATTTTTCCATGCCCCAGAACAGCAATTTTAGAGTTCCCGAGTAAGAATACCGAGTATCATCTTTTACCACTTCTCAGACAAATCTTTCAAGTGCTTTTTACACAAATAATACTATTCTCATAAAATCAATCCTATGAGATTCGAGTTAGGAATGTCAACTACCCACTTTTCTATCTTTGATTCAGAGAAATGGTAACTTTCAAGGGCCACATGAGTAAGCTAGTAACAAGCTCCAGAGCCTAAGTGACCCGACTCAGATCCCATGTTCTTTATGACACCCCACTATGGAGGTCCTCTCTCACCGGGTGAAACTTTCATCTTGTAGGTTCAGTACAAGGTTGTCAGCCGTGAGATAGATACGATTCTGTGAGGTGGCGATCTACAGGGCAGGAAACAAGACAGATGCCTGTATTAAGCAAAGACCTCAATTCCTATACCTGCAGTCAATAACCACTGATGGGACACGTGTGGGTTAGGAACAGGTATCTAACCACGAGAAAGACGTGGTTTCTGTTCTCAAAGATCTAGAGCAGTGAGCAACTGTGATGTGTTAGTATTTAACAGTCATGAACACCCAGAGGAATCATTCCTGATTAGGAAGAGTGGCAGAGAAGCCAGTGTGAGTAGCAAACTGAATCAGCACAATTCTGATTCCTTCACTTCAATATGCTTTAACTGAAAGCAGTCTCACTCTCCACGCAGCCCTATGAGGGATGCTGGACTCTCACCGTCTTGGAGATGTTCTGGGCTGCCCGGATCTTGCGCAGCTTGATGTAGCCCGGGTTCTTGCTCAGTGCTTCCCCAAGGTGAGCAAAGTGGGGTTAAGGGTTCACACAAGGCTAGGTCTCAATCCCTGGCCCCATCTTTACTACTCCCCTCACTCCAGCCCTCCTCTGGGCTGTCAGATCCAAGGTTGCGCTCAGGTGGCTCGTGCCTAGTCTTACTTTGGTCCTCACCTGTGGGCCCCCTGGCAGGCAGCTGCCAGGAACTGGAGGCAGCAGCCGGAATGGAGGAAAGGCCAGCAGTGCTATTGATCTGTCTTACAGCAAGGAACCAAGCTCAGGTCCCCCACTAAGATTTCAGATCCCATTTGAAACCTCCACTCCCCAGGGAGCTGAGGATCTGAGAGCACGGAGTCGCATTCGCCTTAGCCTCATCAGCCAGCCCACAAGGGAGGACAGGGAATGTAAGGTGCCTCAGGGGCGGGCTGAGATCTCTCCAGCACAAGGATATCATTCTGGCAGCCTCGGCCTCACCCTCGGCCTGCACAATCTTCTGCCGCTGTTCCTGCTTTGCCTTTTCCACCAAGAACTGGGCCCGCTGGGCCTCCTGCTGGGCTGTATTGGGAGAGTCAGGAGGTCACAGATGTGAGGTGTCAGGAATCCCATCCCCCCTCCTACTTTCTCAGAAACCCTTGCCCTACTCCTTTGGTAACTCACCCACTTGTTTGGCTTCTACGGCAGCTGTGTACTCTCGGCTAAAGCTCAGCTCTGTGATGGCTACGTCATCTAGGATAAGGCTGAAGTCCTTGGCCCTCTCTGTCAGCTCCCGTCGGATCAACAGGGATACCTGGGGCGGAGGTGAGGTGAAGGAGGGAAAAGAGAGGTGGTTTTAGGGGACTGGAAAACTGAAAGCGAGGTGTATTGCTGTGATCATCTGAATACCAGATCTCCTGAAAATGGCAGAAAACTCACCTTTTTAGTTTCTGTTAGAACATGAGTTGCAAAGCACTTGGTCCAACCTTTTCAATGGTCATACTGACACCTAATCTTTCAATCTCTCCAACACAACATGCACCTCTAGACTCTGATATTGTTTTCTCCCATGCTTCCTGACACTGACTGATAGCAAGTTCCAGTCTTGGCTCTCCTTGTTTCCCACAGTGGCCATTAGTACAGCTTTTAGGTAGAAATGGAACTAGGGTCACAACCTTTTTCTAATAAGCTGCTATGCCCTGGGCCAAGTAGGGAAATGCTGACGTTATGCAGATGGTGATGGGAACTGGAGTCCAACCTGGGCCCGCTGGGTGATCAGCTGCGAGGCGTTGAACTTGGCCACCACACTCTTGAGCACCTCATTGACAATGGACGGCAACACTCGCTCCTCATAGTCTAGCCCTAGGCGCTGGTACATGCTGGGAAGCTCCATTGCATTAGGTCGAGACAGCACTCGCAGGGAGATGTTCACCATCTGCAGGTCTAAGAGTGAAGTTAGTATGGCTGGTTAAGGCCATGGGGGCCTCAGCTGGCCCCTTAGCCAAGCACTGTCTTCTCTATGTGTTTCCCTTCATGTAATGTCATAAAACCTGCAACTCCCTTGGGGGGAGGAGGGTATTTTGGCTGACAAGATGTGACTCAGCACAGGCCAAATGCATCCTTGTCCACTGTGACATCTTCTCTACCCACAACCCGCCCCCCCTCCCCGATAAAGCTGACCTTTTTGCCACTGTACTGTGTACAACCTCTACTGTAGGCTCTATCATAATCATCTGTCTTCTTTATTATACTATAAGGACTTGAGAACAAGGATTATGTTTTATGAATACTTTATTCCCAGGACCTAGGGTTTAGGGAATGTTAAATGACCTGCACTAAAAATAGTACAAAAAAAAATTACTGGTGCGCTACTTGTTTTGGTGTATGCATAACCATATGTGTATATGTGTGTGTGTGTGTGTGTGTGT